TTGAATCCAATCCTTAATCTCAGAAATATTACTACAGTATTTTTCAAACTTAATAATAACAGTTCAAAAATAGTTACCTTCCAAAGTTTCAGAACATAATTTAACATCAGCATTCTAGACTAAAAATTACTCAACTCTATGTATATTAAAATATTACTCTAAAAAGATTTTAGTGATTCACAGGACCAAATCATCAGTCAACGACCCCTCAAATTTTTATATCACCAACAGATATTAATCCTTTAAATCCTTTAAAATTTGGGGTGTCCAGCACAGTTGAAATGGATCCATTTTAATTTTATATCCACAGAAGCAGCTTTAATATTTTGAAGAACTGCAAGCTTTGATGTGCTCCAATTCTTTAATTCAAGAACCATAAATATCCTTAGTACTAACTTTAAAAATATTTGTTTAGTTTTGATACAGTTATGAGCATCATAACTGCTGATATGGGATATTTGGTTTTGACAAAATTTGTTATTTCAAAGGCATTTTATTGTTTAAAAAGCATCCAATGAAGAAAGGGGAACATGCTTGCTTGCTTCAGGAGTTACATCCCAAATACAATAAATTGTTCCAACTACCTTAGAAATTGTAGAGATGTGTTAATCCCTTTCCTATTGTATCACCATAAAGGCATACCATGACAGAGCCATACATTTTAGCTCAAGCTCACTAAGCTTTCTTAAGATCTTGCGAATATCCCTGGAAATTACAAATCATGCATACCTAGGAGGATTTATGTGGATTTCTGCTAATATGTATAGGATTCATGGAATGCCTTTTTGCAAATTATGTTCTCATACCCCTTTCTAAAATAAATGTTTCAGTGTCTTTATTATTTTGAAGATAGAGTTTAATTCTACTGATTTGTGAATTATACATTTTATGTGATTACTAAAAGTTCACTTTTGATATGTAATACCAAAAGTTCACTTTTGCGTAAAATGTCATGAAAACCTAAATCAAATTGGTCCTTTCCAAATGTGATTGGACAGCATGTGGATAATTCCCAGTCAGGCTGACCTTTAGTAAAAATACTATTTTGGGAACTATATTCATGAAACCATATTTATTTTTAGAAAAGAAATGAACTTTGTTCATGAATTTTTTCCCCTTTCTGGCTCCTAGCTTGAACTATTGCTTACCCTTTTTTCCCTACAAGGGAAGCAAGATTTCATTTTTCAGCTACACTTTAATAGAAACTACCGGTACTTATCCTATTATTCTTCATTATCAACAGCTCTTATTAAATGTGAGTTTTCTGACAAAAGTCCTGAAAATATTCCAGGGTCATCATACCTAGACTACAACAATCTGGATTGTTGCACCGTGAATGTCTAAGCACACTGCTGCTATACATAAAAAATGGAATCATTTATTTATTTACTTAAAGATTGTATTGCTACCCATCTTAAAACAGTTCTGATGCTCACAACTACAACAAACCCCACAAGCTATAAAACCATAAAGCTGTAAAACACAACCAAAACTCAATGCATCTGCCATCTACTTGGGATGCACCAACTACTAATCCCAAGCACCTCACTCTACTCTAACAGATGAAAAGCCAGGTCTTAAGGGCTTTCTGGAAGACTAAAAGGCTGGGGAGGGGTTACTGGATTTCCTGGGATGGGATGTGCATATGATAGGAACAGCCATGGAAAAAGTACACTTTTGAAGTAGCTAGATACTGACGTTTCAGGGAAGTGGCTCTGGAGCATGGCTAATCTACCTAATCAGGTAGGCTAAGCAGATATGCTCAGGGAGTGGAGATCCAGCACACAGGGCATCTCCCTTGCACGTCATATATAATGTAGACATATAAATGAATAAGGTTGCTTCCTACGTCCCTGGTAATAGGTAGACACACCAATTGATGGAGATGCATCTTGTGCTGATGAAGCTGTTTGGGAACTTTTTTGTTTTCCCAGACATTTTAATTGATGTAATTATCCTGACCACTGTTTCCCACCCCCCCTTTCTTTGTTTATACTGCTATTATATGATTTTATTGTTTTCATATGATGATTTATCATCACCCTGAAAATATCTGGTAGAGAGCCACAAATTCCCAATTCTTGCTCTGCTTGGTGTGATATAGATCTTGAGTTATAATGTAGACTTTGGGGGATAAAAAAGCAAGTACGATAGTGGCCAATTTACTGTATGAGAAAACAGACTTCAGTGCTTATTAATTTAACTTTTCTGTGAAGTCATTGAATCTGTGCTTGTTGGAGAGGGGTTTTCCTTGTTGTTTCAAATTTTTGTATTTTTACTTGCCACAAACCAGAGCTTATCCATATTTGACCGACATGAATTGTAGTTAACTACTGTTAATACCTCAAAATAAGAGAGAGGAAGAGAGTTCTTGAAACCTATCTGCTGCATATCCTGTTCATTATTTCCGTAGGAATAATGACTCATGTTTCCATAATATCTGAGATTAAGAATCCTGCAGCATTGTACGTCTTGAACAAGTTTTCAACAGGAATGACCTTGATTTTAGAAAAGCTGGTAAAACAGCAGAAATATATGACAAAAGTAAATACCACCATTTTGACTTGGGCTTGAAGCATAACACCAACTCAGGTGTTTCCATTTTCCTAGCTACAATGATTTTATGCTAAAGCAGTTTTGTATCTGACACTGTTTTTAATTAAAAATAATTAGGAGGCAAGGCAACATTGTTGCAGACTTCCTTTGAAGCTCCTAAATGAATGAATCATCTTGCCATGCATTCTTCCAGATTAATGCCCCATGATTGTTGCTGCCTCAGTCATCAGCAATTTGTGGCTCATAATCACTGAACCAGATGAATGATGTCAAGAAGCCTGCAGTGAGAAAATTGGAGATGCAGGGCACCTTGTGCTGTTATGATTTCCAGCACCCTGCTTTTTAGCAAAAAAGCATAGATCAAAGTATAAATGAAAACTTTTTTTTTACTTCTGCAAAATAATCCAAAACATATCAGGTATAGGTAGACATATTAGAGCAAGGTGGGTGTAATGGTTATGGCATATGGATAAAAAGCTGGAGACTATGAATTCTAGTCTTGTTTTAGACATAAAGCCAGCTGAGTGATCTTGGGGCAATCATTTTCCCTCAGCCCTAAGAAGGAGACAGTGGCAAACCACTTCTGAAATCTTGCCAAGAAAACTGCAGGGACTACTCTAGTCTAGGCAGTCACCAGGAGTCAAGATTGATTCCAAGACGCCTTTGTACACACACAATGTGTACATAGGATAAAAGCTTGCTTCTTTCACTCTTTTGTCTTTTGTTCATATCTTATTTATTGGAGGGCGGAATACTGACAGGTTTCCCTTGAGTACAATGTTCTTTCCTGCTGTTTTTCTGTTAACTGCTGAAAAATGTACTTTTCAGAAGTTAGGAGCTTTGTTAAAGACAAAGCAGCCAGCACAAAAAAGTAGAAACTTGTTTTAGTTTCTGCATCTCAATGTACCTAGCCCTGTTGCTGAAAGATGGGTCCCAGAATCCATTTGGTTATACTGGCAGGGGCTATTGGGAGTTGCGTTACAAATCTGGAGGACTTCAGTTTCCAGTTGATAGTTACGATTGCTGCATTGTTGGAAAGATTTGAACAGTTTTCTCTGAAATCATTACGCATTTTAAAACGGCATCATATAATTAATACAACTGAGCAGAGGTTTGGAAATAACTTGGAAGAATTAATTAAGAGTGTAAATATGCCCCTGTCTGCAACTCTTCAAAACAACTGCATCTTTTCTAAGGAATGCATAGCATTCTTCTGCAGCTATCAAAGATCCAAGGAAAAAATGCAGTTTTACAAAGTTCCAGAAAAAAATGTTACATTCATTCTTCTGTGCGCTCTGAAGAACCTCTTGCAGACTGCATTTCAGAAACTCCACAATCCTAAACATCTTACTTTCTGTACTTTATATTACAAAACCATGTTGGACTTCACTGAATTAATATTATGACTTCATTCCACATCCACATTCCTTTTTATAGGCTTTTTTTTGAGGTAGGGGATTTAATAACTTGCCCCAGACTTAAGTTACAATGGCTTGTTATTATGAGCACTTGTTGAGAACTTACTGAATAAACAGGTATACAGTTGTGATTTAAATATTTCAAAGTTTTATTGATAGCATATTTATAAGATGTAAGAATAAATACCCTGCAAGAATGGTACTTTTCTATGCCATAACTTGATATTTTGCAATATCAAGATATTTATGCATCTTAAACTTGATTTGAAATTGCAAACTATGCAAGTAAAGCCTTAGCCCTGATTTTTGGACTTTCTGCTTCTTCCCATCCCACATTTTTAAAAGGAACATTATTTGATGAAGAGTTCTGAAAAACCTAAAATCTGCATACTTTTAAAAATAATTTGGTTTTCCTAATAATAATGCCACAAAAATGCGTCTTTTTTTCTCTCATGGATCCATGTTGCTGCATTTCTTTATTCAAAACAGCGTGCTCCCAGTTTACAGTATGCAGATCTTTTGGGAGTAGCTTGATTTTTGTTTGAGTTTTAAACCTGTTAATTCTCCGAAGAGCTAGCAATCATGATGAAGTGTTTTATTTATATACACCTCACATTTGCTTGACATTTTTTAAAAAAATTGTAACACATGCCAACCATGATATATCATTAAAGAAACTCACACATTTCTTTGCTATGTCTTCAGACAAGCCGGTCAGCTTTATAAATTGAACTCTAGCTTCCTTTTTGCACACTGTATTCTGACCTTAGTTCTACTTGTCGAGTATAATCCTGGCTGTTTCGTTTTGTGAAAATACAAAGACACCCCCTGCTGGTCTGGTTGACAAGCATAAACGTCTGATTATACTCCTTAAACTTTCATAACAATTTTGCTAATTGATTACCTGAATCATAGTGACATGCAGGGATAACAAAAAAGTGTTACCCTTTCTTCCCCTTTTGCTGTGTATTTGCATTCGATTATTTCATGCAGCAAATGCCAAGATGTTCTTGTTTTCTATTCAGAAATCTTTCTTTCAGGAGAATATAAGAGTTGGGCTGGCCAAACTACTGGCCCCTTGAATCAGTACAGTATCCTCTGACCAGATACCATTTGAAGGTCACAAGCGGGGCCTCTGGGCCACCATCATCTCCAGCCAAAAAGTAACATTTACAGTACACGGAGCACTTTCACATTTGATGGCCATGTTCTCTAAGAATGTCTCTGCTCTGCCTTGAAGGAGCGTACCAATTATCTTGGGGCAGGGTGGGAAGAAGGAAGAAAGTTTTAAAAATAAGGTCAAAATACCATCTTGGTGAACAATTTAGGACTTAAAGAAAGAGCAGTGGTAGCTTTTACTGACAGGCATTTAGTCTGTTCTTGGTCTATGGGATAGTGTACATTTTTTAATATTTTACAGTTTTAATATACTACATCCTGGAAATCCAAAGTTCTTGTGGCCTCTTTTGAATGTACAGTGCAGTAAAAAAAAGAAAAAACCCACTAGAGGCCCTCAATTTGATCTCTCTATCCAAAAGGGGAGCACTGTGAGATTTGCAAGGTAAGTTGGAGAAAAATATGTATTTTTTTGTTCTGGTGTACAGAACTGGCTTCCACCCACTTACCTGCCAATATTTTTATTCTTCCTTCTTTCTTTTTGCAGGGATGGCAACAGGGTGCGGTAAAGTCAAGATGGGAGCCACAAACCTATGATTGAAGCCCTTTCCCTTTACATGCATCAGTATGTGCAAAAAGGGTTAGGGCTTGGATTACAGCTGCCATCTTGAATTTTTTTTAACCTTTTCTAGGATACCTTTGTTCTTTTGGCCTAGGATAGTCACATTCCATTTCTGATAAAGAATCATTATTTAGAAATCCAGGCAAAATGCTTTGCCTGAAATGCAGGAATGGGGACATCCTGCCATTCTGAATTGCTATCTGCGATGCAACTCTTATAAGTAAATGAAGGCTATTGAAATCTGTGTTTGCTTTAAGTTCTAGTCTCTTAGGTGATTCAAATTACTTAACAGATAAGACGCCAATGCAATGCAATATCCTGTTTGTGTTGAACTTACTTCCTGAGTCTACCAAAGTAATGGAAAGTCCTACTGCTAAAAATAGGCGTTAGCCTGCTTTGTGCATAATACTAAACCATTATAACTTTTTCAACAGATTGGAATAAAACCAAATTGTGGTGTGGTATGAACTTCTATTTGTCCTGTCACAAGTTATAACATAACTTCTGTAGGTACTATTTTAATTTCATTTCATTCTTCAAGGGTTCTCTCAAACGACGTTTTCCAAGGCAGTAAGAAATAATAAACATTTAAATGTGAATGAAAGCAGAACTACAAAAAGTAACTGTAAAATAAAGCACTACAGTGGCAGGAAAATATTTGAAGCCAACATTAAAATAATCATCAGCATTGCCATGAATAGTTTGGGAAAGAACAGTGACTAGACACTGTTTGGTTTGGTAGTTGCCCAGACATCCTGGATTACCGAGAAAGCTAGGGTGAAAAATGACATATTTTTACTCCGCTCTTAGCCAGTTTCACCAGTATCAAAAAGCCCACATAGATAGCCAGGATTCTTGCTAGAAATACTGACCAACGAAGTGTTAGTGCTCATAGCCACACTGTGGAATATATAAGGAAAGAAATGGGAAATGAATATACAGTAATTTGTCCATTGTAAATTAAGAACTATTACACATCTTAGTAATGGAGTTGGGTTTTCTGTCCTGTGTTGGCCTTAGTTCCTAACTGATTTCTCCTTGCTTGTAGTCCATTATAGTGCAATGCTGGGATGTTCCTTGGAGAAATTCAAATAACATAACTTCACATGAATCCATGATGAAGCTAGCATTGTGAAAATCTATCCAAAGTGTTCCATTCTTCTTTAACATTCTGTCATGTTAATCCACAGATCTATTCCCAGTTTTTTTTTCTACATCATAATTAAATGATGGTGGAGCAATTCTTGGGAACCTGGAAACTAATCTTGAGTGAAAACTTTGATGAATACATGAAGGAACTGGGTAAGCAAGCACACTGCAGGAAAAACCTAAATTTTCAGAGATAACCAGATTTACTTGTTTCTTAGATTTATAGCCTTCTTTTTATCCAACAGTAAAAAGTAGAATATATAATGCACCATACTCCCATTTTTCTCTATAAAAATGTGAAGTTTTGGATTGACAAAGAGTGAGAATAAATAACTGATCCAAAGTCAGTGAACTTGTGATTTTGGGTGTTCCCAGTGTCAGGCCAACTTTTTAATCACTACCTTTTTAAAGTGTGTTGCCTACAAAAGAATATCAAAAATTTCTGTTTCCAAACTTTGGAACAAATACTATGAGATATAGTAAAAGAACAAGGTATATTTAAACTGCAAAAAAATAGGAGTAAGAAGAAGCATGATAGCAGCCTTTGGCCATTAAAAAAGAGGGTTGACTTGTTCTCTCTTGATAGGCTGGGAGGTGTTAGGCTTGCACTTAGGTAAGGAGGTCTAAAGTATTTCTTCAAAACATGTTTGAAACCAAACAGAGCTATAATAATTACTTCTAAGACTCCCTAAAATTACAATTTCAAATCTGGTGCTCCTTGATAAATTGGATTGCAGTATCCATCATCCTTAATTGAAATGGTCATTGCCTTTTCCAATTCAGTACTTTCCTATATCTTACAGGTCTAGTTAGGAGTTGTAGATCAACATATTTGACACCTATCAGGCTGAAGAATACGATGTGTCTTGGATATTTTATCTTGGCTTGCATTGGAAGATTACTAATCAAATCCACTAAACAAAATAAAATTATCCTAAAATCCAAATCTTGATTATCTAAATTCCTCCTTCTACACACTATTTGAAGTAGAACATCCTGCGGGTTTTTTAAAAAAAGTTTTATCTAACCAGACCTGCAGTCCCATACCTGATTTGGAAAATACGAAGATTTAACCCTGTTACTAGGATGAAAATAAAGTGGAATTTTATGTTAATGAAAAATTAGAAACTATACTACACCAGTGAGCAATGTGTCATTTCATTTTATTTTCAGTAAGTTTTAATTCATCTTTTTAATATTTTTTTGTATTTATTTTTACTTTATCTTTACTTTATTTTTACTTTGTTTTTCTATAAGATAGGTATTCTTTCTTAGAAAAAAAGTGGCATATAAACCAAGGAAATAAGAAATGCTAATAAAAACAAAAGTTGCCATTTTCTAACCTGAGTTATTTCTAAGAAGGCCTTAAAAATACTGGATGATATTTCATATTTTGCATTCTGCAGGAATAAACTTTGCCCAAAGACAACTGGGTTCTCTAGCCAAACCCAAAGTAATCATCACTATGGGCAAAGATGTTATCACCATCAGAACAGAAACTATCTTTACAGTTAATGAGATCTCCTTCCAACTGGACCAAGAGTTTGAGGAAAGAACAATAGATAACAGGCTGGCCAAGGTAAATATTTCTAGGTTTTATTCCCATGTTTAAGAAGAAGAAATAGAATAACTTGCCATATAACAGAATCATTACCGTGTTTCCGTGAAAATAAGACCCTGTCTTATATTTTTTGAGCCCCAAAATAAGCGCTTGGCCTTATTCAGGGAGGTGTTATTATTTTGGGGTGCATGGAGCAAGACGGGGTTCCTCTTGCCATCTTACCTGATCTCCAGCTTTGTTTCCCTAACCCGAACCGGAGGAAATGGCGGGGACCAGCTGTGCAAGCATTTAAATATTTTCGGGGAGGGCTTATTTTCAGGGAGGGCTTATTTTCAAGGGGGGCATGCGCTCAAAAGCCAGAATTGGCTTATTATCAGGGGAGGTCTTATTTTCCGGGAAACAGGGTATTAGAATGTCAGTCTAGTGTTTAAGGTACCAGACTAGAAAGCAGAAGATTTTGAGTTCAAATTTTGCCTTAGTCATGCAAGGCTGATGGAAGACTTTGGACCTGTCACTCTCTCTTAGCCCAACTCACCCAAGGGGTTGTTGTTATAGAGAAAATAGGAGGAAGAAGGAAATGTTGTGTGTTGGAAATATTCACTGCCTTGAGTTATTTGTAAAAATGATGAAGATGGGATACCAATTCATAAATAAATGTCAGCTAATGAAAAATGGGATGTATGGGGGAGGAAAGAGGGGATTCAATTAACAAGGTGGGAGAAAGAAACTATCGTTCCCATAACCTCCTGTGTATTTTTAGAGCATTGTAACAAAGGATAATGATACCCTCATTCATATACAGAAGTGGAATGGCAACCACACTACTATCAAAAGAAAAATAGTAGACGGAAATATGGTGTTGGTAAGTTTTTTTCAATCTACCCTGCCTTTTAATTTATTTAGTTCTATATAAAGCCCCACAAAGACCTGATTTTAGAGTAAACATCATATACCTCATTGTTCCTATGGCATTCCCAACTATCAACGTAACATTTCAATTGTTCTCATTTTCTGTTATTATCTTAGTATTATTTTGTTAATTATTAAATCCACATTAGTATGTTGGGAATTGTGGGATGTTCAGAATACCTTAACAGCTACCAAGGAGTTTCGAGGTTTCTTCAGCTATATCTGCAGAAGTTGTTCAATGCTGAACTCAGGCAGTATGAGCTGTGAATTATGCTTGTGTGAACTCAATCCTTTAATTCTTTTTTACTTCTTTTTTATTTTATGAACTACACTCAACTATTTTTAGAATTAAAAAATGACAACTCTGGGGAAGAGGGACAAGGAGCATTTTCTTCAAACTGCAACCTCAAAGTCACTCTTATATTTAATGTAATCGATTCTACTTAAAAATTTTCGAGAATAACTTGCTAGTTTGGAGGAGAAAAACTACAGATAGTCCTCAATTTACAACCACAATTGGAGCCAGACTTTACTTTGTTAAGCAAGGCTTTGTTAAGTGAGTTGCACCTGATTTTACAATTTTTTTTTGTTTTTTTGCTAAGGTTGTTAAGCAAATCACTGTAATTGTTGAATGAATCATGCGGTTGTTAAGTGAATTTAGTTTCCTTCATTGATTTTACTTTTTGGAATCTGGCTGGGAAGGTCACAAATGGCAATCAGGTGACCCCAGAGGATGCAATCCATGCTGGTTGCCAAGCACCTGAATTTTGATCATGTGGCCACAGGGATATAGCTACAGTTGTAATTGTGAGGATTGGTCATGGATCATTTTTCTCACTGCCTTGTAACTTTGAGCAGTTGTTAAATGAATGGTTGTAAGTCATGGACTACCAGTATACCTTTTTGTATAAGTGGATAGCAGGGGTGGGTTCTACTTACCTTTACTACTGGTTCGCAACGGCAGCTTCTGCGCATGCGCAGATCATCCATTATGACGTTCGGGTAGGTGGGCGGAGCCTCCCGACGCTTTTACTACCAGTTCGCAAGAACCAGACAGAACCGGGAGCAACACACCACTGGTGGATAGCCACTAAAGCACGTAAGAGATCGGCAGGCTGCTATGTAACCCAATATAATGCAATGTGGAAGAAAGCTTGTCCCTGACATTACATGCAGCTCCAACCTCCTTTTGGAAGCCCCTAGATCATTGTCTAATCATTATTATTGAAAATCAGCACCTTGGTTTTCTGTTACTTTAAGATAGGAAGCCCTTGAAAGCTATAGTGTAAACTGCAAAAATAGCATTAGCATAGTTTAAAAGAAAAAAGCTTTGTTCTTCCAAAAGTGCAGAATCTTTTTGGATTGCTTCAATGCGCTCTACATGGGCCTGCCCTTGAAGATCACCCAGAAGCTACAGCTTGTCCAGAATATGGCAGCATGTGCAGTGATGGGTGTCCCTAAGTTTATCCACAAAGCACTTCTGTTGTGCAAGCTGCATTGCACCAGTTTCCCTCTGGATGCAATTCAGGGTATTGGCTATTACCTTTAAAGCCTTACATGGCGCAGGGCCTGGTTATCTGCAGGACCGTCTTTTCCTAAGGACATCTACCCATCCTACCAGATCAGATAGAATGGGCATGCTCCTATTCCCTTACCTTAAACATTGCCATTTTATGGGATTTAGGAAATATGACTTTTCCGTGGTAGCCCATACCCTATGGAACACTTTCCCCCTTGAAGTTCAACAGGCCTCTATCCTCCGAGCCTTACAAAAAGCACTGAAATCCTAACTTTTCCCTAAAGTTCTTGAATAGGGTAAGGTGCCCGAGAAGATTTAGCAAGGGTCTATATGTGAAAGCTTAACTTTGGTGCCAGGTTTTTAACATTAATGGTTTTAATTGATATGTGTACTATATTGTTTCCATCAATCTTGTTTTAATTGGTGATTGGGAACCACCCTGTTTGATACAAGATAGGCGATTATACAAACTTTTTTAAAAAATAACTACATCCCTAATTTTGTAGTCTTGACCTCATGGTATTACTGTTGCAAACATTATGGTCACTGCAATGCAGATCTGGCTCAGTATCTGCTTCTCATTTTGTAGGGTCAGCTCAATTCCTGTCAGGTTTAGTTTCAGGTTTTGGAAATTTTTTGCTTTATTGTTTTGCTTTATTGTGGGATTGATGACAGATGAAGCAGATTGAGCAGATGAAAAATTGATCTAAATGGATATTAATGATAGTACATTTAAATGGATGTTACACATAGTACATTTACTAGGAATTTCTGAGTGCATTAAATTCCTACTAGCATCTTTTTCTCTTCTTCCAGGAATACATCTTCAATGATGTCATTTCTACCAGGGTCTACAAAAGAGTATAAGACAATTCTTTCCCAGGTTACATTTTCCTGTTTCTTATTCAAGTGATGTCAATGTTAATTATGGTGCTTGTATGCAGAAAGAATTCCATACTGAAATAAGATTGAAGAGAAATAAGTCCAACATCTTAATCACAATGTTATTTGTCATAGGATTACTATTTTCTCAATGATCATAGTTGCTGAACTGATTCTGATAGTCTTCTTAAACCATCCGCATTGGGATCCACTATGCAAGTTAAAATCAAACCAATACAGAATAAAGTAAAACTGTTGGGGTTTTTTTAGCTGAAAATTAAGGCTCTATACTAACGTATAGAGTAACGTATATTACTATACGTTAGAATCACGCCAGTCTTTGAAGTTTCATTACACTGCTGATTCAGGTGTGATACTAACGTAGAAATAGAATGGAAAGATCATCATGAGAAGCCATGCATCAGTGATTGCACAAAAACTTTACTGAATAGATCAGATAGAGTGTGACACACACACGTTTTTATATTTTTTAAAAAATTGAACTTGACAATAAATTCTCCATTTTGAAATTCAGTTAAGCATTCTGATAAAACTACACAACATGGTATGTGGAATTTGAGAATCTATCTGGGGATTAGGAAACTTTTGGGACCAAAGCACTGTTGTTGTTATACTGCAAAAGTGGAAACCTGTTTGTGACTCCCCAGAATTCTAATTGCCCCATAATTTATTGCATGATTTTTCCATAATTTTGTGGCATGAAATATACAGAGACTGTTATGTAAGTCCCCTAAGTGGGGAAAAAATCTAATCTCGTAAAACTAGGAAAAAAGATCTTGCTCTATCTACTTTATAATTGTTCTGCTAGTTACAGCCCCCGACATCTCACAATCAACCAGAAGTGGCAGATATTTCAGTTTAGTCTATCCAAAATCATAAAATAGCTAGGCAAGACAGAAGCCATCATTGTCAGTTGAGAAGAATAGCAAACTGAAAAGCAGAAGACTCCTTCAGTGTATTATAAATAGGACAACTGTATTCATCAGGAAAGCAAAGAGAAGTATTTGAAATGAGTGAAATGAGTCCCTCTACTGGCAGATTTAAGTAGGAGTAGCTGGTCCAGTTTCATGCATTTTGGGGAACCAATTTAATAAATCAAAGAAAACGTATTTTTCAAATAAAATAAGGAGAGCTATCCATTTCTTCCTTTTTTCCTTTCTCATTCTTGTCTTGCCATTTTGTAAATCTTTTTTTTTATTGTCTGTAAACTTAATACTTTTTTAAAAAAAAGGCAACAGTATAAATTGTATAATGGTAGTGCTGTTTCCAGCAATTATATTTAGAAGATGGGACAAGATGGAAGAGTTTCAGGAATAGTTTAAGAAAACTATTGTAATGATTTTTTTAAAAAGATTGATAAATTGCTAGATAGAAGCTGCAGTTTGTAGATTTCTGAAAAGAATAGGAAGGAGAAAAAACATTTAAAGAGATAATTTATAACTGACAAAACTGATATTTATTTTAAACACATTATTAAACATAATAAATTTTAAAACAATTTACATTTTACAATATAAATCAATTTATTGTAGTATTCTGAGCTCAGATATTTTGCAGAAGTCCAGGTATTCCTATTTGGCTTGTTCTTTACCAAATCTTGTTTCCATACAACCATCACAAAAGTGGATTCCAAGATACCCAGAGTTAAGCCAGAGATTGATAGGCAAGTAAAATCAACAGGAAATGAGTATTAGGCTAAGAACAGTTTATTTCTACATGAGGCTAAACTCAAACAATTTGAAAGGAAATGAGCTGGGGGAAAAAACTTACCAGTGAAAATTATATGTATACTTATCACTACTTTGGAACAAGTCATTCTTCCAATATGTCAGAGCTTGCATAGGTATAGCTAATGTGAGAGTACTAACATAATAAAGTTTTTAACCCAAAACACAAGAAGATAAAAAATACGCATGGAAAAAAATCAGGAACCTTTTTCAGGGCTAGATAGCATTGTATGAACTTGTAAGAAAGGCATCCCCAACAATTGAAAACAGTTGTAAACTATTTGGGCTATTTGGATTTTAAAAACATTTTTACTTCATTTCAGGGACATCTGGATGGTTGATGCCTGTTCACATTCCATTGCTAACTCCTGGAATAAAATAGGTTGAAATCTTACATTTATGATTTATCATCAATTTGGGAATATGTCATTAGTATATCAGAATTATTCTGTCATGCAAATCTTTGTGTTAAAGTTATGGTTAGATTTGAGTTCTGCACATCACAAGCATTAATATATGATTCCAACCTTCTAGATGTCATAAAGCTTTGTAAAGCTTCTTCACATCTTAGTATTTCTAAGAATGAATCCAACTCTGGATTAAATATCTTCTTCAAATCATCCAGTTTACTGGAAATAAATGATTAAACCACACATATGTTCACATACCAAATAAAACAAAAATGCCTAATTCAATAAAAGTTCAATATTAAAAAAAACACTTATTTGATTCTTGCCATTCTAAGAGACCAAAATACACTAATGGTGGCTTAATCTGATACAAAATACGGTTGTATTATTCTACTCAAATCTATGGTAAGATTTTTAGTTTTAGTTTGGTCATACCTTCTGTTCTGCTATTGTGTTTGCTATATACCCCCATACAATAATTAGTATTGCAGTTTATGGAAACACTTATATAAACTATGAATAAAACATGTAAAAGGAAAGTTAACAGAAGGCATTCTTTCTCTTATAAATAGGAAGCATCAGTGGGAAAGATTTTTCAAGCAATGAATTTTCTCAGCACGTTGTTTCACATACATTTGAAACAATACATCCATTACTAAGCAAGGAAATCAAGTTGGTGAAGAAAGAACAGTATGATCATGGTAGCTGCAAGGGGAAAGAGGAAAAAGCATTTTGCTAGGGATTTTATTCTTTTCCCTTATAATATACAAAGGAAAAAAATGTCACATGGAACTGTATGGACAGTCAAATGTGTTCTGAACTATTAATTATATAGATGAATTACTCCATCCTCTTTTGCACCATATCCCATTTATTTTCTTGTCAGAGACAAGAAAGCATGACATTTAAAAATGTGCTGCACACACAATAAATAATAAAAGAAATGTTTAAAACATTGGAGGGGGGAAGGATTTCAGCAACAGATTTTGACGTATCAAGATGGATAACTGAGCCTATATTTACTCAGGTACAGTGAATGAGCATCAAAGAAGTTCTTTGTGAAATAGAGGCCATGTGATCAGATATTTAATTCACTGCATCATCCCTTTTCAAAGGAATGATCTGAATCTCTTTTGCTATCCGCTCTGCTATTGCTTGACAATTTGCAGCAATGATCCTTCTTGACATCAAATCAAATGGTCCTCCTAGAAAACCAAACACATACATCTATTGAACACACAAGTCTATATATCTGACTTATTTCTACTAATTCATTGATAAAGTGACCTAAATCAGCAGAGGTGCAAACTGAATATTGTTTCAGGAATTAAATTTTATTTTCCTTAAACTACTGTATTTTTTCAGACTATAAGACACACTTTTTTGTTTCCCAAAAGGGGGTGAAAATGTCTCTGTGTCTTATAGACCAAATATTTCCAAAGCACCGCCCAAAACCAGCCATTTTTTGGCCTCCGCACACCCTGTTTTGGGGCCTTTTTCGGTCCCATTTTCGAGGCTTTTTCTAGCCCATTTTTGAGGCTTTTTCCGGCCCGTTTGGGGGGCTTTTTTTGGCCCATTTTTGAGGCTTTTTTGGCCTCCCCCCCAAAAAAACGGGCTGAGAGACATTTTGCATGTTACAAAGGAAAAACATAAATCAGGATAATTCTTATTTTATGATTCCGAGCAGGGTACAACATAGTAGAAATTAACAGCATTGCATCAAACCCTTATGATGTCATCATGCAAATGCTGTTGTGATGTACCTAATTCCTGATATTTGACACGAATACGGAAGTTGCAACATTTGCATGATGATGTGTATCCTGAACGTTTTGTTATTCTCAGCCTCTCTACAAGGCAATTCTCAGGTTTGTATCCCTGAGTGGAAAATACTTAACTGCTTAAGTTCTTTAACAGTCTTAGTCACGAACTGTTAACTATACAAAACTGGCTTTACTTTGTTGTCAACATATTTTACCTGAGATGTCGAGCAGCACTCCCCCTGCTTCAAGAATGATAATTCCAGCTCCTGCCATGTCCCAGCAGTGAATTCCCATCTCATAATAGGCATCTGCTCCTCCTGTGGCCACCAGGCACATATTAATAGCTGCTGTCCCTACTGCTCTAATCCTAAAACAGGTAACAGAATTACTACAACCTATTATTTAGGCATTGAAGTTAATGACTAATCATTTGGGCTGCTGAAGCACCGGAACAAACTCTGAATTGGGGAGCCGAGTGGAACTTAGCAGAATAAAGTGCATGTACCCGAATCTGGATGTAGCCAATATCAGGATATTAGTCTTCATAATAGCATACTACATCATCCTATCTTAATTATTCAATATGTACCTTTTTCAATCAGCTAGAATTGAGAATTTGCACATTATAAATTTTTATTACTGTGTACAGATTCTTTTAATAAAGATAATGCATTAAATGGTTATTTGTCAGCGCATTTGGAAATCAGCAACATACATCATAGAAAGGTAAGAAACAAACTCTTCTGGATGTTGAAAATCAAGTGCAACATCCAAATATCTCTTTCCATTATTCAGTGGACTTGGGTCCTGTTTCTAGCTACTACCTCTGAACTGATGGCATTCAACAATTTATTTATTTATAAAGTTTATAGGCCGCTTATCAAGGTAACTCTAGGCGGCTGAGGTTGAAAATTAAAACACACTACCAGGTTAGATAGGTCAAGTTTAAATTATTTTTAAACAGACTGTTCCTGTTGAATTGAAGCTATCTTCCTTTCCAACGCCTTAGAAATGTTTACATTAACACTTTCCCTTTTATACTATTGTATAAAATTCAATTACTAAATAGACATTCAATTGTATAGAATGTGAAGGATGTGTTTGTGTTTTATTTTTATAATTATAATGTACATTGAAGATGGCATTTAATTTCGTTGTACGAGGTGCAATGACAAAAAACTATCTCCCTTGCCTTCACCAATCACCTTCTGAGACTTTGTATATTATATATTTTTATGATTGTGTACAGATTATTTAATAAGATAATGCATTAAATGGTAATCTGTCAGTGCATTTGGAAATCAGTGACATTTGGCCCACAAATCTCAAAACTGGCAAATAAACGTTTGCATTGCCACCAACAGGCACACCTCTGCACAAATGATTAACCTCCGTTCTTCTTCACTCCTAACCTAAATTATTTTTTTTCTTCCTCCAGCACTGCCACTCATACTTTGCGTACAAAGTCACATAGTTCCTTGGTCATAAAAAGTAGGGTGCGGCTTACAATCAACATTCTTTTTACTTTACTTTACTATACTATACTGCTTTCTGCTTATATCATCTGGGACAATGTATTGAAACAGAAGTCCTAATTTGGATCTTTGCGTGGACTGAGAGAATAATGGGGACATTTTCATCTTCTTAGCAATATCTGCATTGTAGTGATGTTTCATTACAAATAAATCAAAATAAAAAAGATACCGTACCCATGAATAGGAATGCTAAGGAGCTTTTGCATATTAGAAAGAACTGTTTTTATAACTTCTGGATCACGGTCGGACCCCAATTCTGATACTAAGAGTGCTTTTGTAATGTCTGCAGAATAAAACAAAATTGCATCCATTAATTTACATTTGACCAGTGCTGTTAAAAAAGGCAAAATCAACTATTTTAATATAAAATATTGTTTAAAGCACATTGTTACTTATTTTGTATCTAATGCCTAGAAGGGTGAGGAAAAAGACCTGAATATGAAGAAGAAAATAAACTAAATTGTGTAAATCTTTGTTAAAGAATATAAGTAATTACTGTATTTTTTGGAGTATAAAACACACTTTTTTCCCTCCTAAAAGAGGGTGGAAATGTTGGTGCATCTTATATATCAAATACAGCCATTTCCCAAATCCCGCCCCGCTCGTCCCATTTTTGCAAAAAAAACCGGCCTGTTTTTGTGAAAAATGGGGCGCGCAGAGGGTTTGGGAGGCCTGCAGAGTGCTCCTGGAAGCCAGGGAGGGCAAAAACCTTTTTTTTCTTACTTACCTCTTCAAAATCTTGGTGCGTCTTATACACCGATGTGTCTTATACTCCGAAAAATACAGTATGTCCCACAAAGTTCTGAGCAATCCTCTAGCCCTGACAATTGAACCTGGGTACCCTACAGATATTACATGAACAATAAGGTTGCATTTTATTCAGATATATGGTACTCTCCAAGTTGATTCTCCTGTTGACTGTCCAAGTCAGATATCCTCTGTACTGTTTCCCACAAATTCACTTTCTTTTAATGAAAATTTTAATTCAATGGCAAACAGGCACAGAACATCTTGGCAATGCTTCAAAAAAATAAAAAAAAAAGGCAGACAATTTTTCTGAAATGGCATGGAGGTATCAAGCAGATTGGTTGAATAGCATACCTATTGCCAGTTAGCACAGAAGCAATATTAATTATGTGCTAAGACAGGGGTTCAAAGTCAATTTCACTGAGGGCTGCATCAGGGCTGTGGTTGACCTTGGGGGCCTGGATGGGCATGGCCAACTGGGTGGGCATGGCCAGCTTGACACCATTCCCCAAACTGCTGGAATGTTTTCTCTTTGCATTGGGTAGACTGGGATGAAGCCACACTGGCCCGATGTTTCCTATTCACATTGGGTAGACCGGGCTGAAGCGATGCGGGTAAACTGGGTTGAAGCGACGGGGCCCAGTCCCTTACATTTTCCAGGATGGCCCCGTGGGCCGGATGTGACCACATCACGGGCCAGATTCAGCACATGGGCCTTGAATTTGACACCTCTGTGCTAAGAGAACACATACAGAGTAAGCTCCATTTCCAAGGGCATTTGATCAATCTTTTTGCACTAAGTGGGGCAGTTATAGATCAAAGAGAAACATTTCATATACTTCTCTGGCTGACTGCCATCAGATGAGCTCATCTCTGTTCTCAAACGATTTGCAATGTAAATTATGGAAGTACATTTAAGTATTTACATCCCTCAAGGCAATTTCTCAGTGTAATATAAGAACAAAAGAAGTCTGTGCGGATTTCTGGAAGACATTATTATATTTTTATCTTGCTCTTTTATATGCATATAACTCAAGGCAGTGAACATACCTAATACGCCTTCCTCCTTCTATTTTCCTCACAACAACCACCTTGTGAAGGCTGAGAGAAGGGTTGACCCAAGGTCACCCAGCCAGCTTTTGTACCTAGGGCTGAAGCCTTGTGGTTTCCACCTTTACCATTACACCAAACTAATTATTGGAAGAAAAAGAAGATTTTAGGAAGAAAGCCAACAACAGAAAGGGCTATGGTGATCTTACAATTTTAGGATGAAAAGAAATTTGAAAAGTGAAAGTCAATGGAAAAGGTCGAGATATAATAAGGCCAGTAAACAAACAAACAAACAAACAAACAAAAAACTCAAAGGAGAGACCTTGTCCTATAGAATGAGAAATGGTGAAAAAGTGGAAAGAATCTTTCTCAACTGCAGGTTGATATCAGCCACAACGGGATGCGGAAGTGTAAACAAGCAAAGCCTTTATTTATTTGTATCCCGCCTTTATTATTTTACACATAATTCAAGGCAGCAAACATATCCAACACACCTTTCCCCTATTTTCCTCACAACAACCACCTTGTGAAGTGATTTGGGCTGAGAGAGACAGTGACTGCTTTCAAGCCTTAAGTATGAAAAGAAGTTCCTTGGCAAAGGAACTAAGAAGGAAAAAACTCTCAAAGAATAAGAAGGCAAAGGAATTCCAGACTAAAAAGGTGGAGAGCTGTTAAACAGGATACAGTAATCATTGCATAATTGGTGTGAAATAGGCTAACACAGTCCTCTGCTTCCTGAAGTTTATGGAGCTCTGTAAAATGAATTCCCACCCTAACGCACAGAAACCAAAGATGCCAAAACTTTACCTCGTTGTTTTGATACTTGGAGTTTTTGTCCATTGCAAAAGGCTCCTTTTCCTTTTCGACCAGTATACATCTTGTCTTCTACACAGCTATACACAATTCCAAATTCCATCTGTTATAAGAGAAATGCAACACCTATAGATCTTTAACAGTCCAACTTTACATTATAGAAAGAGGTTGCAGTGAAAACATTTTTTCCAATTAGAAATATTAGAAGTTAAAGTAAAATGAAAAATCAGTTACCTGTTTCTTTACTACAAAGCCAATTGAAACGGCTACAAAGGGAAACCTTGAAGATCAAAAAGAGAAATATATTGCCTTTGTAAAATGAGGACAGAAGCAACAACTGTAAATTAGAAAAGTAAAATTTGGATAATATTATTCTAGACACTCCTAAAGAAAATACTGAAAAACATGTTTTAACATTTTCATACCAAAACAGAAACAAAGATCATCCTCTAAATAATATGTAGTAATAGCTGAAAAAAGTACCTATGCACAAAATTAGTTGTTCCATCTATAGGGTCAATAATCCATGTGGGATTATCTGTCAAAATACTTCCTGCACCAGCTGCAACAGATTCTTCTCCGATAAAGCTAGAATGAACAACAATATACAAAGACAGACAACAGATTGTAAATTCATGTTTAATATACATGCATCATAAAGTAACACTATATCTTTAAAAGCCGTAACTCATCTAGTAAACTACTTTTAAGGTCGTTTTAATTTTTTTAAAGACCATCAGTCTTAATCATTACAAAATTGAATCGTTACAAAGTTATTTCCTGAACAACGGAGTAATTGGTCCATGTAGTTAATACTTCTGTACTTAGAAGTATATAGTCTGGTGCACCTTTTCTCACTCTAATATCTCCAGATGTGTTAAGATCACAAGAGTCAATACTGTAATTCCTAGTCAATGTAATTGGGAAACAATATAGGCAATCCTTGAGTTATGATAGCAACTGATAAGTATTTGATGGGTAATGGGGGATGGGAAGCAGACCCAAGGCCCTTTAGGAACTCACTGGGAGGGGAAGCAGTCCAAGGCCTATGGGGATTTGGTGAGGTGGGATGGGGGGAGATAGGTGGGGGCATTGGAACATCCCTGAGATTGGTTACCAGGGTGAATGGGGGCAGTGCAGTGGTCATAATGTCAAAACAGGGTCTTAAGTAGCTTTTTTGGGGGGGGGGGGTTGTCTGTCATAACTTTGCTAAGTGACCAGTTGCAAGTCAAAGACCACCTGTATATCCAGTTTCTTTATTCTTCCCTTGTAACATTTGATTTATAGCCACTCAGTTATTATTGCTACCCTTGCAAGATTTTCTGTGAATCTTTCTTAAATGGAACCTCAAGGTTTCAACATGGACTCAGACCAATGTAGCACATAGTGGAATTATATCTTTCCCTGATTTGGAATCTATTTATTCTATTATTGCTTCTATTAACATGGCCTAAATTGTGTTTGCCTTTTGCACAGCCATTTCACATTATTACAAAATTCAATGAGTTAATTGATAAGTCCAAGATCATATTCATGGGTACCTTTGCTGAGATCAGACCTGTATTTTAGAGGCATTCTCTTTTGCAATTAACATCATAAAACACGCTGTACCTGTGTGATGGATATTTTTCTTTTATAGAAGATATAATCATATTTTCCACTTTTTGATCAGTGATTGTGACTAGATCTGCTGGAGAACTTTTAATCATGACAGTTATTTCCTCTTTCAATGCCTCCCGGATTACCTGTGCAGAAAAATCTTTATATGATTATTTTGAAAACAGGACATGATAAATAATATTCTTAATTATCAGTAAGACTTAAGTTAAAACTTGTCTATTGGGGCAAGGCATAGAAGCAGCAAGAAAAATTATACTGAAAGACTCTGATTCAATTCTTATTTTACAAGGTACAAACATTTGTAATGAATAAAAATGTAGAAAATGGAAGAACCCTTTACATATGAGGGCACCATAGGAAGTATACAATTTTATACAATTTATACAATTTTATAAATGAACTGGTTAATTGTTTTTATAAGTTGACTATGATTTAGGGTTTCTAAATCTTATATTTATTTTCATATTTTAAAATATATGTGATTTCTTGTTTGCTCTGTAAAACCCTCATTTCTTTGTATTGCTTAGATAATAGACAGAAATACAAGTCAGGTTCTTGAACACGTACAACTTCTCAGAAAAGTTAATATTCTTAAGCAGAGATGGCAGCTTAGGGCCTAGCTGACACAAGTGTCCCTCAATTCATTATTTTTATAGTTTTTACAGCAGTACTGAAATATGTTAATACAATTATTCATTATTGGTCACTAGCCACAATTTCCAAGCTGTGAAGGCTAAATTTAAAATCAGTACTTGAACATTTAAACCATTTTTGAGAATGATATTTTAAATGTTTTTCTAATCCCAATAGAAAGTAAATTATTCATACCTCACCAGCTTTTCTTGCTAAAACAATTGCATAGTTCATGCATTCTTCCCAAGGATCAGCCATCTTGATCTACCTAGAATATAATATTTTAGTTACTTTTAACTTGTAAAATACTGTACAGTACTGATGCTGAGAAAAAAAAAATTCTTTCCAGAATCTTTGTCTTCAGTCTGATTAACTTCATACTCTGGATTTCCCTTGTTCAGATTTTATACCCACATACTATAGATGATACACAAATAAAGATTAACATTGGTGTGCCTGGTATCTTCCTTAGAAATTTCTTTGATTGAAAAGCTTAGGGATTTTGTTTGCTTTTAAGCATTGTTTTGTTCCAGAATTTTGGGATCACAGCTAAAAATATACATGTATTTGCTTGGAAGTAAATTCTTTGAATATGAAATGTTTTTCTATTTATGCTTAAAGATACAAGTCTGGAAGAATGTATATAAATACTCTTTAACAGGTTGATGCATGAAAAATATCTTTGTCCAGGCTTCCATTTTTTTATTATGATCCAGCACAGGTGATATTTACAATGATATTTACAATGAGTTTAGGCGGATGCAATTAATTGGATTTTTTAAAAACAGGATTTGAATCTAATCTTGGGACAGAAATCCTCCCAGATTTCTTGATAGTGAGATCGGCAGCATATAAAATAAATAAATAAATAAATAATGGTGGATGATTTATGCCAAAAATGGGGAAAACCCCACCCTCAAATCTAGGGAGAACTTAATGACTAAAATAATTAAGCAGATTAACAACGAGAAAATGCAACTTATTGTATAGCTTAATTATTATAAAATGAAACATTGCTCTGGACTGAAGAAAATCAAATTTATCCTACACACATGGAGGGCCAACTAGGAACATAGTGAAGGGATGAAGGGGTTGAGCCCATTGTTTTTTGGAAAGTAGCAGAGAATTCAACAAACAAATCCCACTCACATTCTCTTTGTCTGCTAATGGATACTACCAATTAGATTTTGATTAACTTGTGTTAGCTAATACAACAACTTAATTATATCCAGCTGTTTTCTTTATTTTTCTCCTGGCCAAGCAATTTGTGAATTCAGTATAGAATGGAAATAGCGTGAACATTTTCTGAAATGGGGAATGTAAGTTATCATCTTTTCAGCATCCTTTGAGACAGCACCTACTGAGAGCACAATTCTGCCTCTGTTAAATCCAGAACACAATTCTGATGCTCTTAGATCCAATCTGCTTATCTGAAGGTTCATTATTACTTTGTTTGCAGGCTCTTCCTTATCCTTTGCCAGCAATTGAACCTTGATAGTGGTCATAGGGAATCACTGATCTAACCCCTTCCTAGCACTCATTAGATTCCCTATGTGCATCAGAAAAGGCCATCTCTTTCTGCTTCAGGCTGGTTAGCTTCTATCCAGTATTGCTAGGGAGTACCTGCCTACTTCCTCAATTATAATTAGAAAACACCAAATGGCAAAAGAACATCTCTGGGAAAATTGAGCTTTTTCACCTTAGCTTCACTGAGCACTCTTTTTCCTATCTTAGAGATGATTCCTGCTATGTCAGGAGGCATATTCCTCCTCCAGCCAAGTTTGCAGACAGGTTTTCATGACCTCTTTCTGCCTTTATCCTCCTTTTCTAGCTTCCCCACATCCTAGTGGTTCTGAGATATGTCTGCTTTTCCTCATCCATCCTGCTGTTCCATGCAGAGGAAAGCCACCAGGAAATGAGGGGATGGCATAGTGCAACAGGATGAGAGTGGCAAGACTGTCAAAGGGCACAGGCTTCTTTACTGTTTTCTAGGCAACAATATAAAATAGCTTGCCATTTCCTTTTTCAGAATTACATTTTCTGCATTTCCCATTTTGGCATAAAGTCCTGGGATCTCCTGGTGGCCTCTCATCCAAGTATTAACCACGTCTGATCATTTAGGTCTTCCCCTTCCCCTGGGAATCTTCCACATCTCACTGCCCACATAAAGTCAGCAAGAGGATGGAACTGGAGCAATGATTCTCTTCTTTCAATACTATTTGATCTTCCTTTACAGCAGAGGAAGTGGTCTTGGAGAGATAATTCCTGGCTGAGGAGGGTCTTTTGTGCCCTTGAATGTCATTTACTGCCTGCCTGATCTAGCCTAGTGTACATTTTCTTCAAAGTAGAAGCGGCACATCAAAGCAGTCTTTTCTCTGTGCCTATTTCCAAATAAATGTAGCCAGGCTTTTAGGGGACATTTATACAAGGAATAGTGGGGCCTCTATGCTAAATCAATTTCCAGAATCCAACAAGGACGTTTGTAGCTTTTGAGAATTTAAAAAAAGGGGGGTAGGATTGTCACTTCCTGTTTTGTATGGATACACAATGCACAATGCAAAAGCAAGGCTGCAATTATGTTTTTTGAAAGTACCGGCCTTGCATATATAATGGATTTGTCCGGGGAAAAAACCCGACATTTTCCCGCTTCCATTAAATCCAGCGTCGGATTTTCGTCGGATTTTCTATGACCCAAGGCTCGACCTTAACATACATGACACCGTGATAAGGGTCAACGTGTTGGAGCGCAGTCGACTCTCTGAACCCTACGAGCTGCGGTGGCAAAGCAATAGAAACAGTTGGAAGAAAGAACAAAGACAACCCTAGAATTAAATCAGATCACTGCTTAAAACAGGCAATCTCGGCAGCCCGGGACTTACCGTTAGGAGGCCAATTTTTTTTGCAGCAGCTACCGGGTACTGGCAAAGCCGGTTGACTAGGCACCGCCTCAGCAGAACCCACTGCGCAGGCGCTGCAAGGACTTAAGCCGTCCCCCCCTGCTCCTGCGCTGCCATTGCAACTGTGTCTGATAGTTCCAGGCAGCGCGAGCCTGAAAGAGCGAGGCGCGGCTCGTGCGAAGAATCGTGCTTTCATTGGTTGCCGAGAGTTCGGATGGTCGTGGGGTGCGGCGAAATTCCACGGCGCTTTCCCGGCAAAATGAACCTTCCTTTCTACGCGAGGGCTCAGCGTAACTGAACAAAATTCGGGCATCTTTACGTTTTGAATTTGCACGTGCATATCGGCCTGAATCGGGCATACCAAATAGGCGAGTAGATCATTTGTACTTTGCTTGTAAATACGAAGGGAAAAATAAAAGCAGTTTTGATACAGAGGTCTGGGTTTTTTTAAAAATCAATTTGTGCCTTTAATTGCTTCATTCTGTTCCGAAATTGGAGTGGGTTTATTAAGGAATGGAGATAAATGGCGGTCAGAAGGAGAGAAGGGCGTTCTTTGATTGTAAAAAATATTTCATTTAAGATGTTACGAAAAAATAGCATTGCATCGCCCTAAAAAAGGAGCTGCTGGACACACTTGCCATGATTTCCTTCCCCAGTCTTATATTACTTTCAAAAATATAAAACCCAAAGTAGTTAACCTTTCTTATGAATGTATTTCAACACGGTGTCTTTCCAAACTGCCCACGAGCAATTAGTATTTTAATGTTTAAAAGATACTTTGACCATGCAGATATATGTCCAACGCTCGGTATTGTGATTCATTGGTTTTCCTTCTTTGTATTTCTCTAAATATGTTTATATTGTGTACTAGATTAGCCAAATGTACTGTATGGCTAATCTACAATATCACTTATCACCAAACCAAATTCCCAAATCTCCTTTTTCATAAAGAGAAAATATATTGGAATATTGTAACATAGTATATAATTTATAAAATACACATTATAATTTATAAGAAAAAAATGGCTTGGTTGTTCCAGGTTTTTGTATGACCACGCACAGCTTCGAACACAAATATTTCTGCTTCCGTAGCTGATAGAATTGCAAATTGACTGTAATGGTGTCACTTTCTCCAATAGTGCACTTCTCTGAAAATATTAATTACATTACTTCAAATATTTTTGACAAATAAAACTCAGGGTTGAAAAAATTAAACTATTAATAGTTGATACAATTGTAAGACAGTCATAATGTTGTATTGACATTTTGAACCATTTAATTGATCCCAAATCCAGGTAACATCAAAATTAAATATCCAAGTGAACTGTAAACACAGAATGGTTTTCAAAATAAATATTAAAATTCCAAAAGAGCATCTATGACTGACTGATTGTATATGTGAGTCACTCTCCATTAGCTGGATCACAGGAATAGAATAGGCAAAATCTTGTGAAATAAAATAGAATAATCTTCCACTACGTTTAATAACCCTATTTTGGGATTTTATTTCAACTTCATTTATTTTAACTGGTTCAGAAAACAGCAGGCAAATAACACAATCACCTGCTGTACTTGAATACTAAGTTTATAATAACCCACATGTATTAAGCACCACAGGTAGACTTTTCAGTTGAGTATCTGTCAGTCTGAACTCAATTTTTGGTACATGGGATGACATGTATGACAAATGTATTTGCCCACTTGAGAAAACAACATAAATACAGATTTCTTTTTAAACTGAATTCCCATTTCATAGGAAAAGTCACTCTTGTACCATAGAGCTAGTAAAACAAAAAGTCTTCTCATGTTCAATCTGATACAATAAATACAAAAGCAGTATTTTCCATAATTACTATAGATAAGAATCTGCATCTGCTAAAAATTCAACGTCATCAAGATATTCCAGAATCACATTTCCCCCATTATATAGCGGCGATTCTTTAGAGTTTATCCACGATTCTACTGCGTGATCCAAAGGCAGGGCTTCTCCAGATGCTGTGTGGCAAAGTCTTAATTTCTGAAAATTGGGAGGGGAGGAAGTTAATCACTTAAATCCAAATATTTGGAATTCCCACAATATTGCTTCAATTGATTTACCTTGGCTGTGGTTTTGTTGTTGTCATTTTTAAGGCTTGCTAAGTGGGCTGCAGAATCTATCACTTTGCCAATGCTCCATTTGCTGCAAAAGTACATGGGTATACTTTTATTCTTGCTTCCTTTGGGTAAAAATACTTGGAAATAGATTCTGTCTGTCTATAAGAGAGAAAAGAAAAAAAACCAAGGTGCAGTGTTAAAATAGTTCCTAGTTGCACATTCCATTTATCTTATTGCTTTAAAAGAAACTTGCATTTCTCCACCAATGCATAAATCTGTCACCCCAGAACTATAATTTTAAGACAAATTCCACCTTCCTCCTTCACTTCAGCAAATCTACATTTTACATGTAAGCAACAGTCCCCCTTACCACCCTTGAAACAAATTTGTGGGATTAAAAAAAAAATTGTTAGAGAATAAATACTACAGTTATTCTGAAATGTATTTGTCTAATCCATGAGCATGATTTACCTGCGGTACAGACTTCTCCCCACATGCGTGCATTTTTAGTTTCATCAGGGCCACTTTTGCAGCTGTTTCAGGGTTCTTGGCTCCTCTGCATTTTTTAATTGCAGTGGCTTCTTTTTTAGAATCTAAAAATATACAGACATTCACTGGGTTAAATTACCTATCCCTCTTTTTTTTCTAAATGCTGAGCGCAGTTATCTTGGAAGAAAGTGCTGCCTCTTCCCACTTGTCTATTTAAGATGCAGTCTCTTCCCTGATCTTCAAATCCTGACAGTTCCCAATATTCAACGTGTGACTGAGAAGTGACAGCAATGAAATCTAAAGGAAGGGATGCTTAGGAATTCCTTAGTATGAGAAAAGAAGCTTCTACAGTACTGTGTAATTATTTTAATATAAAACACTGTGGAACAGCAGTATTGTTATTGAAAAAAGGCTTTGAGTTATACTACAATCTATTCTTGCAGATTTCAATATGTAGCAAAGATAGGGAGCATGATGTTCATGGACACTCAAATTCCCAGAGATGATCTGTCTTGCTGCATGCCAGGCTCAACAATCCATCTGTTTCTTTTCATTTTTAAAATTTGTTAAGTAAGTGGGAAATTGCCATACTGCAGAACAAATTTCAGCCTCCGATGTCATCCTTATAAATACTATATGGGGATTATAACTCTGGGTATATGTTGAAAAAAAGTAAACATTGGAGTATGAAGTATGGAGTACTGCTTTGCTACCGTATGCAATTCAGTTCAGAAGAAAGACTTCAAATTCTGATTGTAATCAACTGAGCTTAGAGGGTGCAGCTTAATCTCTGCAATTCTTTCAAAGCAGGATTTATTCAGCTTAAGGGCATGGATCGCTGGATATGTGCTCTATTCTAACATGGAGTTCTGAACACTCTATCAGAGGAAACAATATTTTAAAAAAAAAATCCTTCTGCACTTACCTACAATATCTTTAATCAGTTGCCGAGTGACACCCATACGAGCCTGAGGGATTTCTAGTTTCTCACACTCATGGTCTGACTGGTGACGGTGCCTGGAAATAATAGATTGCCAAATATTCACTAGGTACTTTACAGAACAATAGGATAAGATTTGTTAGATCATTGCCTTTGCTCACCTTAAGCAAAATTGTTTTTCACAATAAGCACATAAGACAGGTACAAGTTCTCTTCCATCACAATCTTTATACATGCATGGAAATGATTTGTGATAATCCAATTTCATATTTTTGTTTTTTAGATTTGCCTAAGGGAATTAAAAAAATACAATTTAAAATCTTATTTCAAAAATCAAATTATATATTAAAATTATTAAAGTTCATAGTTTAAGCTAAATGTACATTATTTAAACTACCTGGTGGTGACAACCTGAGAGGAAGTAGGTAGTTCAAATTTAGGTATGATGCCAAACTATAACAGTTCCTTCTCTCCCTGTGAACTCCTGGATATATAAGAGCCAACAAAATAATTTGCATACTGTCCTACAAACCTGGAGTACAACTTGACTTGACAGCTCTTTGCAGGGTAGACACAAGCCATAGACTACATAGCAAAAACAGATCTCTTGCAAACCATATTTTGCAAATCCTGGTGGCACAGTGGTTAGAATGCAGTACTGCAAGCACAAACTGCCACAGCCTGAAGTTCGATCCTGACAGGGCTCGAGATTGACTCATCCTTCCAAGGTCGGTAAAATGAGGACCTAGACTGTTGGGGGCAATATGCTGACTCTGTAAACCGCTGTAAAACATAGTGCTGTAAAACACTATGGGTTGATACATAAGCCTGCTACTATTACTATTTACTTGAAGCCTTTGGTTTTACCCTTTTACTTTTTGGAGCAGTTTTCTGACTCTGGCAATTGGTCTCCCTATGGTGCTCTATCTATCCAAATTGCTAGCTAGAACTCCCTCAACCGGTCAACAGGAAAGTATAATTAATAATAAAAGAAGTCAGCTAATAGTTGACCTCCAACCTATTTGTTCTTTCCCAAAGATAGGATTAGCCACAGAACATCAGAAAAATAGCAATAGCAATTAGACTTCACAGTGCTTTACAGCCCTCTCTAAGCGGTTTACAGAGCCAGCATATTGCCCCCGACAATTTGGGTCCTCATTTTACCCACCTTGGAAGGATGGAAGGCTGAGTCAACCTTGAGTCTGGTGAGATTTGAACTGCCAAATTTCAGGCAGCCGGCAGTCAGCAGTAGTAGCCTGCAGTACTGCACTCTAACCCACTGTCCCACTCAATATTTTGAAGCTTAGCTGAAAACTATTTTCAACTGCTGCAATGAAAGAAAAGATTTTTTTTCTTTCATTGCAAACAGACTGTGTTCACAATCAGTCTAATTCACAATAAGGTCCTCACTTGGTCAGCCCTTCCAAACTATATAATCCAAAAGAAAGCTTTTTTTTGCAGACATAATTTGGCAATAAGACAACCTGGATAAGAAAGTTTTGCTTGCAAAAATATTCCAAACAAATGTAAAGAATATGAATTTCTCTTATTAGGTAAAATGTTGATAAATGTAACTTGCAACAAATTAATTATGAAATATTAGCTTACCTCAGAACAGCCATGAGCAGACAGACTTCTGTGTTGAATGCTTAAAAAAAGTTTTACAGAAACAAAAAAGCCATCAATATGTGTAATATAAGATTTTATAAAAAAGAGTGACAATCTTAACCACAGCTTAAAATGTAACAGTACCATATAATATTTACTACTTAAAATGTATTCTTTTCTTTCTCATTTCCATATTATTTTCTCTATCCTTCTTTACAATCCTGTCCTAAATCTCTAAAAATAGTTTATATTGCTAGACTATACCTTAATAATTAATATAATTACCAGAAAACTCCTGAGCAGCCATCACAGACAAAAGGGAGGAAATCTAATATAAAAGAAATATTGTAATTATATTCATACTTTGATAGGTTGACTCAGCCTTCCATCCTTTCGAGGTAGGTAAATTGAGGACCCAGATTGTGGGGGCAATAAGCCAACTTTGTATAGAACACCACCGCTTACGGGGGCCCCGAAAGCCCTAATTAGCAGGTATATACAAAAAAGTATGCAGGCTATTGCTATAATGCATTGTAAGCCACCCTGAGTCTACGGAGAAGGGCGGTATATAAATTGGACTAATAAATAAATAAATAAATAAATTGTCATACTGATAAAAGGTAAGTTGGAAGATCTATTCTGTATGAACATTGGCCTTACTGGCCAATTTGTATGCTAAATGGAATAAACTTGAGGCCAAACTGCAGAATTAACTAGGTATTCTTAAGCACATGGTTTTTAATTTGTTGGATTTAAAGAGGTTTCAGTCATAAATTCTGAGCAATATACCGGCATTTGTAAATCAGGTTGAAAATATGTCAGTAATAAAATTGAAAAAAATGTCATAGAATACAGTACAGTGATATGTATACTACCCTTATAGAAATACAATTTACTAATTTAACTGCAGTGGATTGTGATTTTGTCTTTAGAACTTTCAAATAACAAAAAAAATGAAAGGTAATTAGTGTTTCTATCTTGCATGGTTTAATAAGAGTCATGGTAAGAAAACAATTTCTCTGACTTTTTGTTTCTTAATTTTATCTTTTTATAGTTACAGGAATATAATTTTTCAATAGCTGTATCGTCCCTATATTAAATTCTCACAGGATTGTAGTTGTTGTGGGAAGCGTATAACTTTCTTGAAGAACATGTGGGTTATTCATCTAATAAGACACCAAGAGAATTTTCAATAATATAAAAGTGCATATTGAAACAAAATAACACTAAACAAATACTAACACTAGCAAATAAAACTAAAGAATACATTATGATAAATGTAAACGAAGTTTGGAACATTTTGCAGAAAGGCAGGATTACAATGTCAAATATATAAGTGTGAATAAAACTCCTCTCTTTCTCCAATTTTCATAAAACCTCTGGCCCACAAGTGCTTTGTTCGTGAATGACTCTTCTGATTTTCAATACATCAGAGTTATAGTTAGCAATAGGTAGAAAAAAAAACCGGATTTTTCGTATCTCCTAAATTAAGCTAGAGATGGAAGCAAAGTGAAATTGTAATGGTAGACTGGTGAGCACATCTCTGCTAAAAAGGCCTCCTTTGGGACTACTAAAGATAGGCAGATTTCACTTCGTACCTTAATTCTTCGTTCTTAAGGACTTCTTAAAACATTAAGTATAAAAGAGATCAAGTCATACAACGTGTGGTCGCTCCTGTAAGTTTTTTTTTTTTTTAAAGTAATTTGCTTTTCACTACATTCATAACCACAAACGCCATTCAGCTACATCTAACCACCAGGCAGGCAAGCAGGCAGATTCATAGAAAGAACCCTCGGCATTCACCCTCGTCTTTTGCCTGCAGCCCTGCACCCTGGTTTGCATTCGAATAACTCCCGTGGGAAAGGCAGAAGCAGCAAGCAAAGTGTGGGAATCGTTTGACGCTGAAATTCCCACGGTGACAACCAGCCAATTCAGAGGCACAAATGTTTCGCGGTAAAAGTTGCAGACCCTCAAAATACTCATGTGGGACCGACTCCCTCCCCAAGCTGCTCCCTGGTCGATTACTCTTTTCCTCTACAGAGTCTCCTAACCTGAACCTCCCAACAAAACGCTCTTACCGAGCTGTTTACACTCTTCAACCCCGCAATGCTGCCCGATTTCCAATTCCGCCATGTTTCCCAACAGCGCATGTGCGCGCCGCCACCTTCTTCCGGGGATACTTGAGGACTTTATTCCACCCACCCCCCTTCCCCATTGCTTGAAACCTAATAGGAGGCGGGATCGCCCCTGGCGTCAACAGAGGGGTGGAGCTTGTGCGGTGACTCATGAATAATCCATGTAATTATCCCTGCAACAACAGCGAACTGATTTTGTGTTTCTTTCTGGAGAGTTTTCGCCTTCCCATTCTATATATACCATATTTTTAGAAAGATTTACAGAAGGTACTGAAATAAGTATAAAGGCGTAAAAGTATACCCGATCAGTGGACTAGAAAGTGTTATAAAACTGGATACATTTTAGAACCATGTAGTCTTTGAAAATAATTTAGAAAAAAAATGTTCATTTTTCTTGTTCAGTTCTCTATTTTGCATTAAGGGAACCTAAACATATTTTGCTGCTTTGAAGAACTGCATTATGACCCAACTCCTTAAAGTGGCACTTTAAAGCAGTGTAATGTCATTGAAATACATTCCTCTGTTTTAATGTCCAGGAGAGATAATATCTAATGAAAACTATAGAGCACATTTTTTTCCAAAGTGTGCACAGAACATCAGAAGCTGTTTTTCATTATTGTAAAACATATAATATGGAATAATAGATTAAATTTATAGGAACATTCTAGTTGAGTATTAGAGACACAAAAATAACTTTGGTAATTGTGAGATCAGAAAAAGACCCTTAGTAATTGTGAGTTCCCTTTTGTGCATGTATTCAAACAGAAGCTGGACAGCCATCTGTCTGGGATGATTCAGTTTGAATTCTTAAAATATCTTCCACTGCTACGGTTCTTATAAAATGTTCTAAATTTTCTTGCATTTTAAAACACATTAATTTGAAGAGTCTTTCATGGACTTTGCTATGTATTAGACAATGTTAAAGTGTGTTGTAGTTTTTGCACAAGCGATTCAACATGGCTACCTGTGTGGAATCTACAGAGACTATATTATCAGTCTACTGACAACTGGTGAAGAAAGTTATACCCATCATAAATCTTTAACTTTTCAGTTAGTATTTCACTGAAGACTGACGTTAATGCTTTAACCTATTTTATCCCAATGGCAAGTTACAATGTGTGTTGGACTTTTACCCCATGTTCAATGTTTCACAGTAAAAACGCAACAATAATGGAGTCTGAAACAGGACTATAATTTCTGTGAATGATAGCAAAAACTTAGATTTAGAATAACTTCATTGTCACTTTGAATGTACACTAATCGACATACATTAAAATGAAATTTTGTTACATACAGCTCTCAAGGGTCACCACCTCCAATATACACTACAACAAACTCTCTATACAAACTCTCTAAGTATTGCTTAACTCTGGAATAACACACTTCTGCACCTAGGCCGAAAATACATTGCTATTTATCCAAACTTCAGGAACGGGAGTTTGGTTACAGCTCGGGGACGGCATGTTCCAGTGGGAGGAGCAAATCCAATTTTTTTCACTTCACAAAGTCACCATTTCTCCTTTTTCACTGGGCGCGCGGCTTCCTTCCCGAGTAAGGATTTCCGCGGTGGCGGAGGCCGCTGGAGAAAGGGTGAGAGACACATCCCCGCTTGCAGCACCTGTCGCAGGTGCGCGTGGGTCACGTGGCTCTGCCGTCGGTCTTTGGGAGCCGCGCCAGCTTCCTTCCTTTTAGGCGTTTCTCCGCTTGCGCGACCGGACCAGATTAGGGAATGCGGATAGAGTTGGCCGTGGCTCGTTAGTTCTCGGGGAAAACAAAACAAAACAAAACAAAAAGAACCCTGAAGGAGGGAGAGGTATTCAGGCCGCCTTCCATTAAGACGGTGGCGATTCGGCGGACCGAAGATGAGCAAGATCCAGAAGTTTTTCAAGGGCGGCGGATCCGGCTACTCCAAGGGGAAGGGGAAAGGGGGCCCCACCCCGCAGGAGGCTTTAGCGCGGCTGCGGGAGACGGAAGAAATGCTGATCAAGAAACAGGAATACCTGGAAGCCAGGGTCGCCAAGGAATTGGCCCTGGCTAAGAAGTACGGCACCCGAGACAAGCGAGGTGGGTTTTCTCGAGGAAGCAGGCCTTTAATCGGGCAAATCAAGGTACATCGCTGAGACGTAATGGGCTTTAGGAAACGAGGCCCCCCGAGCGTGAGCAGAGTACAAAGCCTCATCGGACAAATTATCGTTCGAACTCTTGGTTTTGGGGAGTTATCCACGACTTTAAAAAGTATCGTTGCTGAGTTGGTATGGGGAAGGGCAGAAAGTGACTTCGTGTATTGCAAAATCTGGCCTCGGGTCGAGAGCCGTTTCCTTAACTACGTGAGAGACTAGTAACTTTTACTATTTGGTTCAGTGGGTTTCTTTTTATACATTTTAGAAGTTGGAGGTTGGTCACTGTCGTTTTAAATCCTGGCGCTTGAATGGCGTTGCTTGTACTTAGTTTTCAAATTTGGCTGCCGTTGTTGAAAGATACTTATATCACAGTAAGAATTGGCTTTGTTTACGTGGCTGAACAAAGCTATAATTTGAGTGCTGGAGATGGCTGTTTTTGTGTTAGTGAGTCCGAATTTGGCTGTTGCTATATTTGAAGCTCACCCTCCCCTTTGACAATCATAATGTGTGGCTCTACCCAGGATGAAAATGCTGTCTTTCCTTGAATAACATTCCTTGTATAATGTTTCCTTTCTTGTTTTCACATCCCATAGGGGAGATCAGCCTCAGTGAAATAAATTTAAACACTGAGCTTAAAGGTCTTATGGTGCCCTCTTCTTATATTTAAGAGCCATTGTTTTGCTTAATTCTAAAGGTAATCATCCCTACATTAAAAATTTTTTGCCTTCAGATGGGTTTCAGCGGATGCCACTTTCAAATGCTACCCTGAGGGCTTTATTGTCAGAAATCCTTCCTGTGTTGTTCCCCCATAAATTTATTTCCCAGGAATAGAAACTTCCGCAAGCTTTCCCCTGAGCAATTTTGAATGCTTCTACCACATCTCTTTCCAGATTGCTTTGTATGTGAACTTAATACCTGCTAGGAAAGTTTTGATTGTGGATGGTTGAATAAATAAGTTGATTTAAGCAATTACAGTAATATAACTTCTCTTTGTTTAATGGTATTCAGAATGAGGTCTTGTTTTTTGAATAAAGCTTTTAAGATTATCTACCAATTACCACATCTAAGTTTGTTTTGATCTTGTTTAGGACATTGCTAATGCTGCCTTTGTTAAGGATCCTTATGTAAGGATAGTTGTGCCTTAACAAATCCAATTTTTGAGTAGGACTTATTTCTGAATTGATTATGTGCCATTGAGTTGTTTTTGACTCCTTGTGTCGACATAGATATATTTCCAGCTCATGATCTGTCCTTAACCTGGCCTTTCAGGTATTCCAACATTCTTTCTAAATAACATTTATTCATGGTATAAACAAAGTGGAACTAATGGAACACCTAGGTTTTCAGGATTCAGGTGTGAAATTTTACATGGATACTTAAAATGTCACTTGTGTTAGAATTAAGTAATGTAAGTAATTAAATAATTTATATAAAATTATATAAGTAAATAAATATATCATGACACCTCCCTTTTCTGTTTCAAATCACGAGTGGGGTATATCAAAAAAGTCAAGATGATAGCTGCCATCACAAGATTGAAGCTGCCTATTTTGTACATGTGATGAATGTAAAAATGCATGTGTAATATATAGAAAAAGGAGTGAAGCTTTATTTACATACTTGCCATACCACAGTATTTGGATTTTTTTGACCCCTGCCGCTTTCATCAATCTTCTTTTAAAATAAAGAGTTGCAAAGCCTAACATTTAAAAAAACTTGAAGATAATGTTGAAATTGGGGAAGAAAGCACTGATTTAATGTGGGTATGATTAAGGATGATGTTGGACTGTCTCACTCATGGGCTGATGGCAAAGTCATTGGGGCAGGAAAGAAAAAAATAATCAGGGTATATTTGTATTGAGGTTAGGTTCAATCAGGAAAAAACATGAAATAGATATGTTTTGAAATAAGTCATTGTGTTTTACATCATGCTTCTAAAGTAGTCATGTAAAGTTGCAATATTATGGTTCCCAGCACAGTATGGGGATGTTGCAACGATCATAAGGGTGAAAAATGGTCATTTCAGTGATGTTGTAAGTTCAAAGTCATTAAACAAATGGTTGTAAGTGTACAGTTTTTAATTAAAAAATAGATTTATTTAGCTTCTCGTTAAAGTGGAATCAATGCTTTTGTTATATTGAAGGTAGCTAGCAGAGCATTGTCGCAAGCCATTTTTATAATATATAATTATATAAATTTAGAACACACTTCCTGAAACTATTTTTATTGGCTAGCAAGAATGGATCTGCAAGCACAGAAAAAGCAGCTGTAGAGTTCTAATTTTATATTACATTTCATCCCAACTGAAAGCAGAAACTATGTGACACTGTATGTTACAAAATGGTAATCAGTTTAATTTCAACATGCAGGGTTGGTTGGTTTTTAACTGTACACTGCCCAGAGTCATTCAGACACAAGAGATAGATGGTACCTGCATTGACTAAATAAATTGATTATTTGCCCTCCAAGGATAGAAGGAAAAATCTGATTGTGTAGTGGGAAGTCTGAGATGTTCCTTGCACACCTCATAGTGGTAGTTCAGAAAGGCTTGACTTTAAAAACTCTTTAAGAGAATCTTCTGGGCTTGGGCAGGGCAAGAGAGCAAAGTCTGGGATTCAAGACTTCCCAGTTTCCTTATTCCTTTTGAGTGATTTGGGGTTTTTTGGGGGGGGGGGGATTTCTAAAAACCACTTCAACCATGATCACCAAATTCTAAGCATATGGTTTCCTGGCATATAAGATGAGAAAACCATAATAAAGCCACAGCAGGATTAAAAAGAAAAAAGAAAAGTAGGAAAAGTATGCAGAACATTGTTTCTTTCAGACATCTTTACTAGCATTGGCCTTGTTAGCTGTGTATGTAACAAAATAATGTATCTGTGTATGTGTTTTTCAGTTATCACTTTGTGTTATGCCCATATGCATTTCTGTGTATGTATATACTGGAAAGCGCTGGGTGCATTACATATAAACTTCACTGGGTCACATGACCTGGAGGAAAGAACGGGGAAAGCTTAGAATGATGCAGGGATCATCTTTCTGAGTGACAGCCCAGTTGTGTCTCCTATAGGAAAATTTTTCAGGATTATTTTGTCTTTTTCAAAGCCCAATGTTTTGCTGATTTTTTCTCCACACCAAATTTGGTTCCATTCTGTTCAGTTCTAAATATACGGTGCAGACAGAGTCCCAACCCCCTTTATATAACTTAATTCCAGCTTTACTTAGAACATCTTACATGTTCAACATTATCTTTAATATCATCAAACATCCACATCTCCCATCCCAGATCTTTGGGAAGGACTCAGTTAGGTGGACAAAAATGTCAAATCCAATCTGAACATCTGTTTGACTGTGCAGCGAATCATAATAACAATAATGGATAGTCCCATCAACCTTTGCGGATTGATATTGACTATTTTGGAAAATCCTGCCCTAAATAATGGATAATATTATAACATAAGGCAGGACAAGAAGCAATGGAGAGAAGCAACCTAGAACTAAGGAGGAATTTCCTGATAGTGAGAACAATTAACCAGTGGAATGGCTTGGCTCCAGAAATTGTGGGTCCTCTATTACTGGAGATTTTAAAGAAAACATTGAACAGGCATTTGTCTGAATGGTATAGGGCAGAGGTGTCAAACTTGCGTCGTCACAGCGCCATCATGTGACATATCAGAACTTTTTTTCCCCCTTTGCTAAACTGGGTGTGGGCTTGGCCAGCACGTGACTCCAGGGGCCACGAGTTTGACAATCCTGGTATACAGTCTCCTGCTTGAGCACGGGGTTGTACCAGAAGACCTCTAAGCTCCCTTCCAACTCTGTTATTCTGTTACATATCCAGCTACATTTCTGATACAGCAGATTCTTGTAGGTATGATAAGAATCCTAATGGAAGTTTGGGAATTATTAGTTGAAAGAATTGGTTGTAAAATTGGATTAAGAAGAAGATAATGATTGTGTTTATATTTGCTCTTCACTGCTTGACTATTGTATGCGTAGTCCTCAAAATGAACAAATTTTATAGTGCTTTTCATCAGATCATCAAAGTATTGGTAAAGAATCTGGTAAATGATGCCATTACATGTCTGGAACAATAATATTTGCTCAGCATACATGTATAAGTGCATTTGACATACCTGGCATACCATAGGCTGGCAAAGGCCTAATTGATCAATTGGTTCTTTGGGGTGAATCAAAAATGCACAAAAACAATCCAGGTTAGATTTCCTATCCATAAACTAATGATAAACTTGTCAGTGAACTTGGAATGTCAGGCATATTTAGTTCCTGGGTAAAATTTCAAGACTAGAATTTATGTGCTTCATGGATTTCATCTTATGGTTTGATTGCTAAACTCCAACCCTATGCATGTATAATTAGAAGTGTGGTCCATAATTGAATTCACATAGATCGCACGTGATCATCATTTGTTTCATTATTTTATTCAATAAGCTGCAATAGCAATTGCACTTGGATTTATGTACTGCTTCATAGTGCTTTACTGTAGCTAAGTTCACACTTCATGTTAATTCATGAACCATAGTTTTAAAACCACAATATCTGTGTTAAAAGGTTCTGGATTCATCCTATATTTAATGTAATGTTGAACCCAGACATTGATTACAGCCCCAAGGAAATTTTAACCATTTGAGAGAATGCTGCAGTTTGAAGACAAGATTGTTATTATTACTGGTAGATTATGTTATAATTACAAAGAAAAGGCTGTGTGGGCAAATGTACATCCAAGAAAAACAATATTTACTTGTGTGAGTGTATTTATGTATATAACTGTATTAAAAACTGTATTGGTACAGTACTTTTTGCTTCAACCATAAATCAAGAAGAGAATATATTTTGTGGGCCACGAAAAATCTCCCAGGTTTTTGTTCAGTTTTGTTTATGTTTTTCTTTTTGGGAAGTAGATAAAGGAAATCTAGCATTGTA